CCTCAAAATAAAAGATTAATTAGATGGCAAATGATATTATCTGAATTTATGATTGAAATTGAACTAATAAAATCTGATGAGAATTGTCTTGTAGATTTTCTCACTAGAGATGGAAAGTCTAATGAATAAGCAAACAGTCCTCTTGGATAAAGTCTCGGAGTTATCTAAGTAAATTTCTCAATTGCAGACGTAATTCAATGACGTAATGAATATTATGAATTATCAAGACATGAATAAAGAAGTTTCTGAACTTCTTATCAAGCATATCGAACAAGACCATAATACAGTTAGCCTTTACGATAAGATAAGGTTGAAGGATTATTATATGATCTATTCAAAAAGGATGAAATAGAAAATCTTCCCCCTTCATCGGGATAAGAAGATTGTCAATAGACTGAGAGATTTGGAACAAATTCTCTCAATGATAGAATATCCTTGAAACCGGATTTTAGCCGAAACCAGACATCTCAAAGGATACCTATACTAGATAATATAATTAATGAGCATCTACTCATCTCTGAATACAATTCTCTTATGAGAGAATTATATGACTTACAAAATATGAAAATATATTATATGGATTTCACAGGAATCTACCCTCAAATGAAATGCGTGCAGGGATGTGACAGCAATTTCATTCAAAAATGGTATAATTTTGGAGTAATCAATGCTATCTACATGACTACTCCTACTTTTTCTAAAATTTCCAAACTCCCTTGGTGGATTCAAGAAGGAGTTAGGCATATTTATCAAAATAATCCTACATATAGTCCTGGAGACATTTTAATGCTCAAGATTATTTCAATTGGACCAGATTTTGAAGATTCAAATAAATATGATGCCTTTCATCATATCAAAGCCATGAAATTTGATGAGTTGGACATCAAGATTTACCCTCAACGGAAGGAATATGAATATTTTCTGAAGATAAAATACATTACAGAAGAGCCCTTGGAATAAGGATTGTTTTGCAAAATCTTGAAACTATACCAAAGCAAGGTTTTCGTACATATAGAGGAAATGGAGCATTTTCTTCAGTAATGACTACATATGCTGGAAAGACTCCGGAAGCAGCGATAAATTATTTAAATTGAAAAATACGTTTGCTTGAAAGTAGTAGTATAAAATCCAGCAATAAAGCAATCAAAACTTTATGCAAGATGAGGAAACATAAAAATAACACGTGTCCGACATGTACCAAGGAAAAAAAAAAGAAGATAAGGATAAGGCCTCAAACAGTCAAAGCATGGGATAAGACGTAAGCACTTACGTCACTCTCGAAATCTAAAATATGTTGTTCAAGTCCGCAGGATTGAAGCTCCGTGGAAAAATCAATTCAAGTCCAACATTAAACTCTACCAAACTCTATAAATAGCTAGATGGCTTGGAGAAAAGGGCAATTGATTCCTTCATTGATCCGGCAAAGAAACATTGTCTTGTAAAATTTTCTCCCATGTTTAGTGAATAAAGAGAGAGAGAGAGACAGAGAGATAGTATGCCAAACCTATCTTGTACTACAATCTCTTCATTAATAAAAGAAGAAGTTTTCTTCATAGCTTTTCTTACTTTGCATCTGAGTACACTTAGAGGTAGGAAACGAAACTAACACTACAAGAAAATTGGTCATCAGTGACAACTTTTCTCTGTGACGAAAAAAAGTTGTCACAAAAGTGGATCCTTTATTGACGACTTTCTAACTCGTCACAAACCTCTAATGGGAGCCAACTCATTTGTGACGACTTTTCTAAGTCGTCACTAGTAAATTCAAGCCAAGTTTTAGCAAGAGCGCGGGAGTGTTTAGAACACACAATAGTGACGACATTAAGAACATCATCACTATTGCTTGGCCTATTTACGGACGACTTTTTGTTGTCGTCACTGATCATTAAAAAAAAAATTTATTAGTGACAACATTTTTTAGTGATGACAATAAGTCGTCACAAAAGGAGCTTCTTTAGTCGCGACACCTAAAGTTGTCATAATTGCATCAAAGCACCTAAATGTTTAGTGACGACCCGTTATTTTCGTCACAAACTACACTGCAAGAAATATGGTCATTAGTGACAACATTTTTTAGTGACGACAAAAGTCGTCACAAAACGTGGTTGTTTAGTGACGACAAGGAAAGTTGTCATAATTGCTCAAAGCAACTAAGTCTTCAGTGACGACCTTGAAAAAGTTGTCACTAAAATGATCTATATAGTGACAACTTCTAATATCGTCACTGTCACTCTACCGATTTGGATTTAGTGACAAGAATGAATCGTCACTGTTTAAAGTACTTATTTCTAAGTCACTTTCTGTAATTCTACTGTACCACCCTAACTTTTGCGATTTAGCCCCAAATGTTGTAAAAAATTCCATTAATTCGATTATGATACCTTAACTTTTACAATTTAGCCCCATATGTAGTGCACCGATTTCTTTAATTCTATTATTACTCCCTAACTTTTGTAATTTAGCCCCATATGTAATTCACCAATTTTATTAATTCTACTATGGCACTCTAACTTTTGCAATTTAACCCCCATATGTAATACACCAATTTTATTATTTCTATTATGGCACCCTAGCTTTTACAATTTAGCCCCTATTTTTTTATTAGGAAATTGCGAATGGTATCTTGATAAACTATGCATAAATATTTTATAATTTTCTCAAACTTAAGTAATAATTTGTTATAAACTCTAAAGATATATCTTTCATTACAATAGTTATAAGGCATGCAGGTCTTTTTATCAATGGAATAAGAAATTTATGCCAGATTTATCCTTTGTACTACATGCCAAGTAGTATTAGCAAAGGAATAACAAAGTACTACAAAGTAATTAACAAAATAGCCTTTAGGGAGTGTAGTTTATGGGCAAATGAGCATTATCTATTTAAAGTACCAACTTTTTATGGGTATTTTACTCTCAAACATATAATTTATGATAAATTTATAAATGTTTTGTAAGTAAAATTCAAAAAGTATTACACTGATTTCTTACGAAACGAAAACTGGCAGGTTATCTTTTCAACATAAATTAAATTTTTTTAAAAAAAGAAATGGCCCATAAAGTACCAACTCTTTGTGGGTTTCCTCCATTACATGAATAAATATTCTGCTCTTTATGGGCATTTCACTCTGAATCATTTAATTTACGTTAAATACATAAATGTTTGTAAGTAAAATTCAAAAAGTGTTGCACTAATATTTTTATGAAAGGGAAACTGGTAGGTTTTGTATTTAACATAAATTAAATATGTGAAAGCAAAAAAAAAAATTACCCATAAATCTATGTCTTGCAAATCTATACTAGTAAAATAGTTTCAAACAAAATTAAATATTAAAATAAACTGTAATTTATACACATTAAAATATCTGTAATTTATACACATTTTGCAACTACTACTTCGTGTTTTCTCTGTAATGAATTTTTTAACTATTGAGAACTTAAGTTTTGTTTTGCAAATCTATACTAGTACAATAGTTTTAAACAAAATTAAACATTAAAATAAATGTTTGAAAAAGAACAAAAGTACATTTATCACTTGCAGTAATGTAACAAAATTTTCTCAACCATTATCAATATTTTCACAAAAGTATTAAAAACTAGCAATTGACAATATTAAAAACTAGCAATTTAATTAGTGACGACTTTTCTTGTCATTATAATCTTGAATAAATTAGTGATAACATTATGTCATCACTAAATTTTCTTTGATTTTGACTTAACAATAATGTCTTATTAATAGCATTTGATTATTTTTAATGAAAGTCTGTTATAACCATAGAATTTGACTTTCGTTATTTTCAATTAATGATGTACTTTAGTGCTGCAATTATAAAAAATTGCAGGGCTAAAATATTTGCAAATTATAAAAGTATATTTTCACTTATATGTAATTAACAAATTTTGCCACCTATATTGATGAAAATTTGTGTTTTTGTACTAAAAAATAAAGAATAATACTATAGCAATAAAATCTATGCTTCAAACCAAATTAAAAATAAAAAAAGCATGATGATTGGTCTCAAATGTTGGGAAAATGATTATTTTTATTGAAACTATGTTATAACCATATAATTTGAGTTTAATTATTTTCAATTACATGATGTTCTTTAGTGCTGCAATTATAAGAAATTAGTATAAAATATTAGCAAATTATAAAAGTACATTTTCAATTATATGAAATTAACAAATTTTGCCACCTATGTTGATGAAAATTTTTATTTTTTGCTAAAAAATAAAGAATAATACTATAGCATTAAAATCTATGGTTCAAACCATATTACAAATCCAGAAAAAAACATGATTTTTGGTATCAAATGGAGGGAAAATGAGTGAAGTCAAAATTTTGATCAAATCATAGTGAAAGTGCCGCGCAACAAAAGCAATATCCAAAGCAAAGCAAAGACCAAAGCAGCGGAACACATTCTGAAAAGAAAAACAACGGAACACTTGGTCTGAGTTAAAGCAACGAAACACTTGAGCAACACAAACTTTCACCAAGCTGAAACAAACAAGCTTCTGCACTGAGCACAAAACAGAGCTTCCGCACGGCACCTGATACCTTCACCCACACAACAAATCCGTTCTCTGGCTTCTCACTAGCATCACCATGGCTGTCCAGCATTAAAGGGCAAGGTTTTCATTGGAAAGGTTCATTTTTCTCTCTCCTATACATTTTCTCCAATTTTTCCAAATCCCTAATATTCTACAATATTTTTTGCAAATTTCTGCCCAAAATCTTTTAGCTGTCGAGGAAGAAAAGGGGGACGTCGGCAGGGGAACGAAGGAAAAGACTAAAGTTTCATTTGGGAGCTGGTGATTGAGGAAGTGAAACCAGAAACAGAGAAAGGTCTTGGCCTAGAGGGGACACAAAGAAAATACAGAGCAACAGCCGCTCATCGGCCATCACAGCGCGCAATCTCCATAGCTGCCGTCACTCTGCTCTCATCCAATTTCCGCCGCCTCCAAGTTCCGCCACGGCACCTCCATTTCGTGTGCCGCCTAGCTGCCTGACGCATCTCCCCTTCCCGCACGGCCTTTCTCTCTCACTGTCGCTCCTCGATTTCATGTTGCCACCCACCACTGGCGCCCAGCTCCAGCGCGGCTACCATGGCAGCTACAGCCGCCTGATCATTCGCACCTTCCTTCGACCATCACCATCGCCTGCAGACTTCGCCAAGCAAACGCTGTAAGCCGTCTGCCTTCTTTGAATTTTAGTTTTCCATTTTTAGTATGAACATTGAAAAGTCTCAAAGCATGTTTGCCGTGCGTTTGTTCAGTGCCAACTTCATGTTGATTGCTAACGATTTTAGATTGTATGCTATTGTATGTTGTTTGGACTGAAATCTCGTGTTTTGACAAATTTTGGGGGGCTAATTACAGTCCCAATTGAGCAAAAATCGCTGGATCCTTCTATGCCCATGTACTGTTTGTTAAAATGCCCGAGTGAAGGTCTAAATAGAATATTGATGCCTAATCTGCTTGGGGAAGACGATCGTTTGCTTAAATTTGTAATTCCGGTCATTCCATTTTCTTTTTTGTAATTTAGCCCCAGAGTTCCTGAACTTCGTAATTCGACCCTAAAACATCCATAATTCATTCAGTTAAGTCCCTATTTAGTTGCATTTGAACCCCTCTAAGAATATCACTTTCAAACTCCATTTACGTTTTCTGTTGTTTTCTATGGCTTTTTTGTTTAGTTTTATGAAGTTGGATGTTTCTTTTCCTGTATCATTTGTTTTGCAATTTGTTTCTTGGCAAAATCGAAGTGGGTTTTTCTTAGAATCATTAGTAAAGGTTGGTTTGATTTGGTTTGGTTGTTTTTCTTAAAATATAGCAAGTTTTTGCTGTTTTCTTGCCCATAAGGTCTGTTGGAGTTCAAGGTGATCAAAGAACACATTCTCATGTTGTTGCATTGAGAGCTGTCACAAGTCAAGATGGGATGACTGCTGACTGGTACAATTTTGAACACAATTTCCTTGATGTTGTTGCAAGAAAGATATGCAATAGTGTACGTGGTGTAAATCGAGTTGTTCAAGATATTACTTCCAAGCCTCCATCAACAATTGAATGGGAATAATATCATGTGATATGCAGCGTGGTTGATAAAGTTTGGAAAAATCTTGCGGCTTTCTGCTGATCTATTAAAAGGTACTAATTCTTGTAGTCAAAGATGCTGATAAGTGATTCATGAAATTTTTTTTATGAAGAAATATTTATTATTTTTCAAAAAAAAAAAAAGATGGTGAAAACTTCAATTTTGCAGGAAGATTGTTGCGCGCTCCAATGGTGACTTTTTTTTCGTAAGTATCAGTTCCAATGTTGATGTTAATTTTTAGCTTTTTAAATCAAATTTGGCTATTTTACTTTTCCGTGTTTGTCTTCATACAAAGATCTCTATTTCATATTCAATTACTGATTGAAGGATTTGCAGTACTCTCGATTTTCAAGTAAAAGTTGCCGGTGAAGCTCAAGTGGCTGCTTCCTTCTACACTACCACTCATACCTCACTCTTTTTTCTTTTTTCTTTTTTTAGGTGCGGTTTCTTGTCTTTTTCTATTTAAACAAAATTTTGGCCTTTCTCTTTTCTTCGTTCAGTTTTATCGTTTTACTTAAATAATTTTGGGTTTCTTCATTGTCTAGGTCTATGCAGCTGCTACTGTCTTTCTTGTACCATTTTTGGAGATCAAGGGAAATTTCCTGAGGTGAACTTCAATTTCATTATTTATGGGTTATTTTCTTGCGTTGCTTAGGTAATTTCTTTTAACCACATAATACATCAAAATTCATAAAAACACAATAATTTTACAGAAATTTAAGGAAAGTTTCATGGTACCAATAATTTTTTACCTTGTTTCGCGTCCAATCTATATATATGCTAAATCACCCTTGCCGGAAGTCATAAAAGATTTCCTTTTTTGTGTTAAAATATTTGGCAATGGGTTCAACATCAATTTTAGTGCTTTTGCACAATTATACTACAGGTTGTAAGCATTTTTTTAACTCTATTTTAATGTTGAGTTAATATCGAAGACAGTGTAGTGGAGATAGGTTTTGCATTCAGTTGGTAATATGGAACAGGCTTGTCCTTAAAGTAATTGTCTAGGTACTATCACAACCACCAACCAATGAAAAACACTAGTAGTTAAGTACCATCTTACGTGTATTGAGAACTAATTTTAGGATTCCCAGTTTTGGAGGATGAAGTATGAGAAGACTTGTATGCAAAACAAAGGTCTCGTTCTTTCTTTATCTTACATCTATTCATATTCAAATATTTATAACCCATTGATATGCACATAACATGCTCATAAAAATATAGCTGGTTAGATGCTCTGAATTTCATTAGCCATAATGTTGACCGTCTGCCTGATGCATTGGATTGTAAATATTGTGAAGTGAAAAAATTCTACTTAGAGACAGCGAACTTTTACTATTCTGATGGCAAGGTGGTGCTCAATGAAAATAAGCTGCCTGATTATTCGATTCAGTGACTGTCTGCCTGATTATTGTTTTTGCCTGTTAATGTGCTAGATTATCACTGTATAGGCAGAAACTCTGGTAAAACAAGATTACACATCTGATATTATGCTTGTTGATGTTACAGCAAAAAAAGCTCTCATAATTTCTTGATATTATGTCTGTTGATAGTCAAACAACTATAGCTCATTGATCAGCATTGGCCTAATTTTCAATGATAAAAGAACACCTTTTTTTTACTAGCCATTGATGTCTATTTTCATTGTTTTTGTGCTATTATTTTTTCTATTTCATTTTCATAAATGAAATTTTTTTTATCTGTAAATTGGTTGGAAATGATTCAAATTAGTTCTCTCCAATTAAGCCAAAAAGTATATCAATTCGAAATGAGCCAAAAACCAAAGAGTTATTATCTGCCACGCCCTCCTCACGTAGCAAGTGACTAAAGATTTTTAGAATAACTATTATAGGATCTTCTTTAAACTAACTCAGTTCGCTCATTTGATAGGTACTATTTGATACTTTCAAAGCCATTTTTTAGCAAGGAAGGATTGGGAAGGAAGAAAAAAGGGAGATGGGAAAAAAAACCATTAACCACTAGGCTATCTATCAGATTGTTCTTCGCAGTTCATATCCTTCTTCTGTTCCTGCACTGTTTGTTAGTTTGATACTTGATGTTCATTTCATTTTCTTGAAATTAAATGAGTTCTTATTTTTTCCACTTGTTCTTGGGATGGTCACCACAATGTTTGAGCAAGCTCTTCGAACTCTTCAATCCCACGGTTGCTCGAGTAATTGTGGATTTCATCATGAGTGTGGAATTGCTTCATCCTGCAGTGTTTTAGTTTTTTTCTCTCAAAAACTATACATAAGAGTTTTACTTTTTCCAATAATATTTTTCGGTGCAAAAGGCTGTCTATCTACAATTTCCATCACCAAAGAATAAGCTGCAAAATTGGGAATAGTCATTGGAATAGATCTTGGAACTACCTATTCATGTGCTCATATTTACAAAAATGGTCATGTTGAAATCACAGCAAATGACCAAGGAATCGTATTAAGCCATCATGGATTGCATTTGCTGGTAGCGAAAGACTGATTCGATGTTAATGTTGAAAGAACTATCTTTGATGTCAAGAGACTTATTGGATGAAAGTAAGGCACACTCGTGTATTTATCATTTTTGCTGGAACATTTTGGTGTGTATACATATACTCACTGAAGTCTTAACTGTTATATAACAGGATTGAGACTAATGAAGTTTAGAGGGATATGAAGCTCGTTCCTTGTAAGATTGTGAACAAGGATGGAAAACCTTATATCTAGGTGAAAATTAAGGATAGTAAGGTTAAAGTCTTCAGTCTTGAGGAAATTAGTGTAATGGTTTTAACTAAGATGAAAGAAGCAGCTGAAGCTTTCCTTGCAAAGAAAATTAAGGATGCTGTGGTAACTGTTCCCGGTATAGTTCAATTTCTAGAGTTACTCGTTGAATCATATTTTACTTCAATGATACCCAGAGGCAGGCAACAAAGAATGCAGGTATTATTGTTGGGCTGAATGTTGCTAGGACTATCAATGAACCCAGAGCAGCAGCAGTTGCCTGTCTAACTACGAATTAAAAAAGTTTATCTAACTACACTAATTAACTGTTGATTTTGCAAAATATTGAACAATGATTAAAGCAACCAATTTCTTGTATAAGTTTTATTAGTTACATTTCTTATAAAAAGCTTTCATATGGTTCTAATTGCTCTGTTTTATTGTAGGCAAAGGCTTTCATCAAAGGATTATAGAATATTTCATCAAGTTGATTAACAAGAAACATGGAAAGAACATCAGCAACCACAATAGACCACTTGGAAAACTGAGGGAAGCTGAACGTGCCAAAAGAGCTTTAAGCAGCCAGCAGCAAGTTAGGACTCATGCTTGATTTGACGAGTTGAACAATGACCTCTTTAGCAAAAACATGGGACTTGTCAAGAAGGCTATGGGGGATGCTGGTTTGGAGAACCACCAGATGCATGAAATTGTTCCTGTTAGTGGGGCTACCAGGATCCCAAAAGTCCAATAACTTCTCAAGGACTACTTTGATGGAAAGGAACCCAACAAGAGTGTAAAACCAGATGAAGCAGTGGCTTATGGGGGTGGTGTTCAAGGAGGTATTCTAAGCCGGAAAGGTGGTGATGAAAGCAAAGGTACTTTTTAAAATTTTTAATGGACATGTAAAACTTGATATTTTGCAAACTTAAGATGCAACTTGATTGTCTCAAGAAAGTTGAAACTGTTGGTATTGAAACTGTTGCTGTGGTAATGACCAAGTGATTGGTACTTGTGAATTTATTTTGCTGCTTCATAATTTATGAATTCATTCCTTGTGAACCCAGAACAAAAAAAAAATTTGCATGTGACCAAGTTGTAGCAATATCTTGCTACTTCCATTAACTGTTACTGCAGTAATGACCAAGTGATTGGTACTTGTGAATTTATTTCATTGTCATCTGAGTTGTTGTTACATGTTAATGGAATGTATTTGAACGTCAAAGGAGCCTCTTTCTTTTGAATCATCTATACTAAATTACTGCTGTATATGTAAATATCATGCTTTCCTTTTTCTTGTGAATCATCATTACTGCATTGGCTGTATCCTTTGTATTAGTACATGACTACTCTTTGAACTAATATATTTTTGACTAATACTCCTTTTCACTCCCAGCCCAAGTTCACGATACACACCACATCACTCTTTTCATCATCTAAAATATTAAAAATATTACAATAACAAATACAACCTTACTAACAGGTCTAAAGTTCCCACGCCTTGCGTGGGAAGCAATCACCTAGTTTTAATATATAAACAACCAAAAGCATAAACATTAAACAATAATTACTGTGGGAGTCCAATTTAATTGTTCAATAAGTTGAGCTATTTAAAGAAGAAGAAAGAAAATTAAAAAAAACTGTTTTAGAGAGCTCTTTAGTTGAGCTTATGCAGTGTTGTATTTGTATAGATTGGACTGTGATTTCTAACTTCTTGCTGGTGTTGTAATATGTGGGCCCAAATTATATGAGCTTCTTAATGAATTGTAATTTTTGTCTTAATAATCTAAGTCTCATTACTTGTTCTTTATTATTGTACTCCTCCCCTTACCTACTTCTTTTACTCTTTTATGACAGATAAATGCTATTCATACTAGCTTTTGGAAGATATCTATGGTTATGGTTGAAGAATGTTGAAGACAAAATTGCCTTTTACTCATGGAGTGGTTCATTTAGATGTTCTTCAATTTCTTAAACTGTGATTGCTTTTGTAAATGTACCTTATGTACAAGTGATATTTTGGACAAATGTTATTTTTGTAGGCATTAGTTGGGCAATGTACACTTGAATTTGGCATTTGAGAATGCTATATTATTACCATGTAATCTAATGCAAATACTTTTGGTTATCAATCGTTCATGTTTATTTGTATGATTTGTTTAAAATCAATGATTTAGCAATGATTACAGGCCAAATTATGACTATTAAGCTATTATGAAATTATCTAATGACAAAAAAAAGTTGTCACAAAATAGAAAATAAAAACTCCTTGTCACAACAGAGACTGTCACTAAATCTAAGTTACATTTGTGACGACAATTGTTGTCAGTAAAATAGTTATATACAATGGCTTTCGGTGCTTTTTAGTGACGACGTTAAGTAGAGCATTTTTGACAAAAGGTCAATTCGTCAATAAAACACTTCCAGATTGTCGTCACTAATGACAACTATTTAGTGACGACCAAATAGTTGTCATTAGTGACGACAATCTGGAAGTGTTTTATTGACAAATTGATCTTTTGTCAAAAATGCTCTACTTAAAGTCGTCACTAATGAGAACTATTTAGTGACGACATTTTAGGTCGTCACTGTTTACTTTTACCGACGGGGATTTAGTGACGACTTTGTGACGATCAAAAAGTCGTCAATAAAAGGTATTTGTGACGATATTTGTATGTTCTGTGATGACTTTGTGTTGTCACTGATGAACAATTTTCTTGTAGTGTAAACTGTGTGCAAAACTCTGAAGCGACCCTTAAAGGAAGTCACCCTGGTGGTTGGAAGCTGCAATGCCCAAGTAAGAAGTTCTTGGGGAGGTAGCCAGAGTTTTGTCGGTCAAAAATTAGAGTTAAGATATGGAAGCGTGCTGGACCCTTTTCTTTTGTTAATAAGAAATTGTTAGTGTAGATGTGGTATGCACTTTATTCTCTTGAAAATTTTATGGAAGATACATCAAGCCTATTTAGTACTTTATCAATAAATATAACACATCCTGAATATACTTTACAAATAAAAATATTTTTTACATCAGGAATGATAAATATAAATATCTTGTTAGCCAACCCAAGCTTAAATTTTGACTTAAATTTGGGGCACTTTGACTTAAATTTGAGGCTTAACTAGCTCTTTTGCAAAATATGAAAGTTGTAGCCCATTTAATCAAATTTCCAATTCTTTAAGGATAATCCAATTTGGAGGTCTGTAGACTAAGAAATGACCAAAATATCCTCTACTGGTCAAAACTCTGTTTCAGTTTTCGATAACAAAAATGGCTGACTGTATTTTGACTTTTTGACTATGAGAACTCATGAACTGGATTTCGATGTCTCATAAGAAATGTATAGCTATTTGTTAGTTTCAAAATGGATAAAGAATCACCTCAATTCAATACTTATAGCTCAAGATATAACCGAAATACCAACAAGTGTCGAAACTATCAAATTCCCTTTCTTTTACTCTTAATTGCATTTCATCTTTGCCCTTCATATTCTCTTTAAATCACTTTATAATCATCAACAATCATCCACTTATCTTCTCAACTCATTCCAAGTAATGATCGAATCATTAAACCAACAAAAACATGATATTTTCATCACTTTAAACACATAGAAATGCAATGTTTCACACTTAGGTAGCAAAATGTAAACTTCACTAGAATCCTAGTTAATTAGTTATAAAAATGACTAAAACACACCAAAACTAAATAATAAAACACACTTAAATTACTCAAAATACACATTTATCAAATTTTCCCACACTTGAACTATTGCTTGTCCTCAAACAATAAAAAATTACAAACCAACAACAGTCCTCAACGTTGAAATTAAACATATGTGCACAATTCAAATTCTTTTCCTCAAAATAAGGTAAATAACCATTATACAATCATTGCCTTAAACTCAACTACTCATAATATCGAGTAAAGGAGAGCCAATTATACCATAATTTTAACTAGGTCAATTCAATTCCTCATCCTTTCCCAACTTCACAAGCAAGTAATTCTTATGGTCAATAAAAATGTTCTCTAAACCCATGATCATCTTCTTTTTCAATTTTCTAGAGGGATTTATTCATATAACATAACTAAATATTTACTCAAGTTGTAAAATTGTCTTTTAACGCGAAGATTGATATTTTTAGATGAAAATCACCGGTTACTCAACACTTCACATGCTCAAGTTACTTTGCATACTCTTAATTTAAGTACCGTTTCACACGAAAGTTGATATTTATAGATGAAAACTCCTAGTTACTAAGTACAAGAACCATTGGAGTAGAACAACTTTTATTCTCTTTTTCTTTTTTTTTTCTTTTTTCTCTCTTTTTTCTTTTTGTTTTTAAAGTAAAGATAATAATCATTCCCTCAAAAGAATAATCATGGGAAGAGTATTGCAATTATTAACCCATATTTATCACTCAACTTTGTAAAATCAAGTAAAGAGAAGAAATTTCATCAAACAAGCAAAATTTGGGCGTAATTTTCTCCATTTTTCAAGATATATTTTCTACAAAGGTAAATATGCTAATCGCATAATAAATATTTCTAAGTCAAATGAGAAATGAAGTTTCAAAATCACATATATTTATTTTAAAAGTAGAAGGAATTTGAATTACTAATGGTATGGAACTTGTTGCCCTTGGATACAATTGAAAAAATTTGAAATATTTTGGAGCAATTTTGTAATTTTGGACAAGAGTTTGAAAATTTTTTGGCAGATTTTCCTCTTATAAATGAACGAAACTCACTACCAATAACCCAATTTTGAAAATTTTCTAAGCACAATAACATTTCCAATCTCAAGTCCAATATTTTCAACTAACAAGGCAATCACGTACAATGCATATAATCTTCCCCCCCCCCTCAACTTAAAATACACATTTTCTCAATGTGTAAAAAGGGAAACCAAGTAAAGAAAGGAATACTACCGATTGATGTGATTGAAATGTGCAAATATGAAGTTCCACAATCCATCATGAAGTTTATTATCCATTTGCCGCAATTTTCAAATCGAAGGGTTGAGTTCTTTTATCAAACTTCACTTTTTTCACCTCATTTGTTCACATTTGCTTCTATTTCCCAAATCTACAAAACAAACATAACAAAATAATATCAATATATAATTTACACCCTAAAATCACACTAAATTAACATAAAATACCAAAATATTGGGTTGCCTCGCAACAAGTGCTTTTTTATAGTCATTAACTTGACTATTTAACCTCATTTTTCAAGGAAGCTTTGTAACGAGAATCCCTTTCTCCCCCTTCCTCCTCTCTTCCCCTTTCCTCCCTTTTCTTTCCCGATCTGAATAAGATGGAAAAATTGTTTTGATGGAAAAACTAGAATAGCAATTCCTAAAATGTCATACTGTGATTTTGGAAATATAATTACAGCAAATTAAGAACATGAAAGTAAAAGAGGAGGGGAATCATGAAAAAGATGATTCGATTCTTCCAACTGAACAAAATTGACACTGCATTTCAAGGGTTACACTGGCCAAAAAGATGGTGGTGGATGGTAGTGGTGTGTGGTATGTGATGGTGGTGGATACAAGAAGAAAGTGTGGTAGGATTTGTTATTTATTTTTTATTTATTTTGGTATTTTTATAAGTTATCTTTGAAATTACATGTATTTTTGGAGTGTTACTATAGATTCCAAATACAAAAATAGTTTTGAAAAAGTCTAAATCCATAAAGAGCCTATATCTATTTGTACTAGTAATAAGGCACACGCGATGTGTGCACAATTAGGGATTCACTTTTTGTATGAAACAATTTAGTATAAGATTTGCATTAAAAAAATAAAATTTGATCATTTAAAAGTTTTTTAAATAGAATTTTAATTAATTCGGTGGTTACAATGTTTGTTGGTGGTTATGGATGAAAATTGGTTGTGAGTACACTGGTTGGCTACATGAGTAACATGCAATCAGATGATAAAGATATGATTAAATGATCATGAGGTAAATTTGAAAATTTAAAAGGTGACAAAAAAGTTTACACAAAATCAATGCTCTTTATTTATATATAATATAGATATATTTTTGGTGTTAATAAGTTTATATATAAAATAATATGTCAATTTTTTGGATGTTACTTTTGGATCTTTAGTAAGATCCACAATTCTATGATTCTACCTACATTTCTGTCCTATAACTTCCAAGATGACTAAAGGTAGGATCATACCACTTTTGCATTTTATACCTTAGCATTAATTTTGTTTCGCTTTACCTCTAAACCATTAGTTGAAATTTACTTTGCTTGGGGAAAAATAAAAGAGGCATTGATATCCCTAAGGGTTAATTACAGTGAATTCTTTTAAGGTATAGTGCATTTTGCACTTTACCATCTAATATTATTTTTCTCTCTATTTATCTATTTGTTCCCAAAATCATTAGTCAACTCTGATATTTTGTACACGTAGGGAATAAAATGCAAAACAAGCTATGCTGAAAGTGACTTTACTGTACTTAACTCTTAGAGGTATCAATGTCTTTTTGATTTTCCATTATACCACACATCATTTGACTAATGGTTTAGAGAATAAAGTGAGATAAAAATATGTTAGAGGAGAAATTGCAAAAATGGCTATACTATATATATGGAGAGTTTTTGTAATTAATCCTATGAAAAATTGCTTTCTCTCTATCTGTTAATGAACACTAAGTTTGCCGTTTAAATGAGAGAGTACCAATATACAAGTTTTTGGAGCTTATTTTCAAAATAGTACTCTTTCAAAAAATTACACCCAAATTAATGTAGTTTCTAATTTTATTGTTTTTCTAATTTCTTATTTTCCACATAGACTTCCTATCAACCACGTCGAAAATAATGAAGCTGGCTTTGCTTCTCTCTCCCCTTTGGATCTCTTCCCAATTTTCCTCTATACCTTTCTA